AGCTGGTCCAAACTGGTCATTTTATACACAAGGGAACTGAGGTCCAGAGACAGGAGGCGATTTGCTCAGATTCCTAGAGCATGTTGACACTGAGCTGGTCCAGCGCCCAGTTTCCGTATGCTCCTGCCTCTCAGATAATCCAGGATGGGGAAATGTTGCCCTGCAGATCAGGGCCTGGACCAGGGCATAGTCTCCAAGGCGTACAGCATCTCCCTTGGGTTTAGAGTGGCTGGATTTGCACTGGGTGGTTCACTATGCCACATGCTTCCATGTCTTGGCCTGCAGTTGTCCCGCCTCCCCTTCCCGGACTGCCAACCACGGATTTCCATCTGAGGCTCGGAGAGGCATTGGGTAGCTGTTGCAGCAGGAGCTAAGAGGATGCCTGGAAGTTCTTTCCCACCCCTGGACAACCTGAGAGTTGTGGTGTGGTGTTGGGACTGCTGCTGTTGATTGGGCCGAGAAGGACCGGCCCTCCCCGGGATGCTCCAGGATGTTCTCCTGGAGCACTGGGCTTCCTCTAGAGGCCGTCAGTTGGCCAGTGTCAGAAGCCAGCCCAGCCGGGTAAGAGGCTATGCCCTTCCCTCTCCAGCAAGGAATGAAATACCGGCTGTGGTCCAGCTTGGGTGTTGGATGACCCTCGGGAGGGCATGTAAGGAGAGTTGTTTTTGGAAGGCGACTTGGCTGAGTGGGTGTTCACTGGCTCAGCACAGAGATGGCAGAGGCAGGAAGGTGGCCAGGGACGGTATGGAGGGAGTGTGCTCTTGTAGTGCTCTGGGTCAGCCCCTCCTTGTTCTTTAGGAATGGCCAAGGCCCCGTGGGAGGAGGCTCAAGTCCTCCCAGAGCCTCCATCAGGGCCAACCCCGGCTTCCCGCCCACAGAGTCCCCCTGCCCTGTGACTGGTGGTGGTGAGCACTGCCCACTCCGCCATCCTACCCAGAGCCTCACTCTGTGAGCGTTTATTGGGAGTGTCTGCTTTCTTGTGTTTGGGGACAAAGGCTATCCCCTCCCAGAGCCTGTGGCAGAGCGGTCCTGGCATGGAGACCCCTCCAACGGTCCCTCCCTGTTTCAGGTTCCTCCTCCCACTTACCCTGGACACATGCGTTGTGTGGTCCCCTCCGTCTGCCTTTGCGCTGCTGAGAGCACAGCTGTTCTTCAAGGCGACAGCAGATGCCCCACTTGCTGGCCTCTCTCCTGGGCACCTGTCACCAGCTGCCCTGTGAGGTTATCATTCTTCACGACCAGGTCAGAAGTGGAGCGTTCTGTTTGTCTTCGCACCATAAACTGATGGGATACTCCACTCACTCCAGGACGAGGTCTGTTCCCAGAGGGAACAGGGTGTGAGGCGTTTTCTGTCTTGGTGTTGAAGGTATTGCTATGGACTTCAGCGTGCTTTGCTCTGGGGGTGGCTGGAGGTCTGGATTCCTGTTGGGTCCTGGCCATACCGAACTGAGTTGCATTTTGATGCTGCTGTCGATGAAGCCCAGAGGCCCCTTCTCGGACTCTTCTGGTTGGATGAGACAACATGTGCGGCCTACTCAGCGCAGGGAAGAGCAGTGAGGTACTCTCTTGAGGCCCTTCCAGAGGTTAGTCTCTGGCTTGCTGGGCCCCTGAAGGAACCAAGCCTGACTTTTTTTTTGAGTTGGAGTCTCTCTCTCTGTCTCCCAGGCTGGAGTGCAGTGGCATGCTCATGGCCACCGCAGCCTTGACCTGCTGGACTCAGGTGATCCTTCAGCCACAGCCTCACCTGGCTAATTTTTTGATTTATTGTAGAGACAAGGTCTCACCAAGTTGCCCAGGCTGGTCTTGAACCCTTGGGATCAGGCAGTCCTCTTACCTTGGCCTCCCAAAGTGCTGGGATTATAGGCATGAGCCATTGTGGCTGGCCCAAGCGTGACTCTCACAGAGACAGTCTTTCAGACCCTCCATCAGGGCCAGCACACAGTGCCCAAAGTGACCAGCAGTGTGCCAGGCTCCTCTCAGGGAAGCTGTGCACTTCTCAGGGCCTGGCAGAGGACCTAGTGTGGTGGGCTCGTGCCTGGACAGATGCACCTATAGGGAGTAGCAAGATGTCAGGGTGGGAGCTTTGTTTTGGCTGCATGTCTTTGCTCAGGACTGATGGGCTGGTGTTGTGGTGAGGGACACACGCCCATCTTTTTTCCCTCAGTGTGTGTTCTGAGCTCATGGAGGGAGCAGGTATGGCCCTGACTCCTTCCTGAGGGGCCCACCTGCCTGGGGCTGTCTGAGGCCTCCTCCCTGCTATTCGCCCAGAGCCTGGACCTGCATGGGGGAGGGTGGCCCTCCCAGGTCTGTCTTCTTCTCTTGCCTGTGTTCCAGGGACATTCTGTCATGCCACCTCAGATTTTGTCTGCTGAGTGTGGTTTGTCTCAGAGACAAGTGAAGGACCTAGATTGTTGGCTTGAAGGTTTTGTGAAAGAAACTTAGTGGACATTTCCCTGACCAAAGCAGGGCCCAGGCTAGGCCAGCTTGGAAGCAATTGGCCCAGACGCTGTCCTGGGTGGAGGTGGACACAGGCGCAGATACCAGGACCGCCCCGGCTGCCGTGGGGACCTTGTCTAGACTGTGGAGTGGGCCGTCCAGTCAGTGTTTCGTATTCCCTTGTGTCTGAGACGAGGCTCTGGGAGGCCACAGCACTGGTACTTGGGGACCTGAGAGTCACGCCCAGCTGTCCCCCTACCCCTTGTCGCTCTCCGGCCCGTCTGCTCTGGGACCTGCTCAGGGCCCGCCCCAAAGGCACCAGGGGAGAGGACTTCCCAGTGGGTAGAGCCCACCCAGCCAAGGTGGGCTGTAGCTGCTCTGACTTAAAGAGAGAACACCTCCACCCCCAACCCTCGTGGGATTACCAGGAGCTGAGAGTGACAGGAGCGGGAGCTGCTGGCGCCAGGGATGAGGGCTAATCCCCCGCCTCCCCCTCCAGTTCCAGGCCGGCTCATTCTAGATGCATGGAGCCATTTCCCTAGCAACGGAGCTGGAGATTCAGAGTAGAAACGTGACTTCCTGGGTGGGCGGGGCTTTGTGGCAGACTCCCTGGACCAGAGCCACAGTCCCTGCTCACCTGCCATTGGTCCCCACACAAGCACAAGGATTGCCCTTCCCTTTCAACAGGGTGGAGGAGCCCTTCATGGAGATGGAGGGACCCATCACCCAGAGGCGGTTGGGTGTAGAGCCCCTTCCCAGGCGTGGGGTTCTGGGGTCGGGGCAGATGCGAGAGGCCACACAGCCGGGTCATCACCATTAGGGCGCGCCCCCATGCACAACAACAAAGAAGCCAGTAAAGCAGGTACAAATTAGCACAGAGAAAGCGCGTGCTTAATTGCCCAGGAATGCTAAGGCGGTACCCACAGCAGAGCAGATTTCCGAACCTCCTGCCATGGCTGTTTGCGTTGGCGCCCAGCAAAGCTGTCCAAGCACCCAGCGCAGACCTCCTCCCGGGCCAGGCGCTTCCCATTCTCTTGTGGGATCCTCACAGCGCCCTCTTGGGGCAGGGACTTTCAGCATCACTGTTTGACAGGTGAGGGAATGAGGTGGATGCCGCATCCGCGGGCACAGTGCTGGCTTCATACTATTGGCAAGATGCAGTGGTCCCTTGTCCCCATGAGGGCCTCGGCCTGAGCTCAGTGGGTGTGGGTGAGGGGCTGTGGGGCTGCGACCGCTGAGGCATGTCCAGGCTGCCTTCCCTATAGGGCCTGGCTCCATCCCACTTCGTCCAAACCTCCTGTGCCGTGTAACTATGGTTCCGGGCACTTACTCTAGGCCTGCTCTTCCCACCAGCAGCCCCTTGTGAGGGAGGTGGCAGGTGATTAGAGCAGAAGGGAATGAAAGGGCAAGGCCATGCAGCAGTGTCAGGAGCTGGAGCCCTCCTTCCCAGGCCCCTGATAAGCCCAGGGATGGGCGGTGACAGAGCTGGCCCTTTGCATAGCAGAGCCCCCTCCTTTGTCTTGTGTTGTTGCATGGAAGCTTTGGTTGCTTACCATTTACAGATGTGGGCACTGAAGCGTGAGGGCAGGCGCTGAGGCACAGTCCCAGAAGGTGGCAGAGCCAGGAAGTCCGGCTCCCGGAAATTGGACTCTGAGTTTGGCTCCTTTCTCTGAGCAGCACCTTGGGATGAAAGGCCAGAAAGCTGGGCCGTCTGGTCCTGTGGACAGCAGGACCATCTGCATATGGGGTTTCTGGCAGGGGCCCAGGCGGTATCCCAGAGCTGGAGGTGGCTTCCAGGGGAGGGCAGGGGGTCAGGAGCGGCACGGCCAGGGCCCTGAGCTCCAGCAGTTGCTGTCCGTCACCCACAGGGCTCCTAGACTCCTGGGGTGGGAGGTTCCTCCAGCAATTGCTGTGTCTCCCCCACCCCCACCCGCACAGTACCCTGCAGCCAACAAGGCAGGTGGGAAGAGGGGGCCCAGAGCACAGATCCTCCAGTGTCTGGACCGGGATTATCCTGAGGCCCCACCTGTCACCACACACGTAGCCAGCAAGGGCAACCCAGGGGCCTGCCTGCCCTTGTTGCCTCCACTAGAGAGGGTTGGCCACAGGGGCAGCAGCTGTCACTAGTTCCTGCCCCTCAGCCTCTGAGGCTCTCACACGCCTGGGGACTCCGTGAAACTCAGGGAGGCACCTTTTAATCTGAAAACTCCCCGGGAAGCACCATTTCCGCCACTGAGAATGAGACCTTGTAGGGGAAGGGCAGTCCTGAAGCTTGGTCCCTGGCAACCCTGTGGCTTGACCGGCCATAGCCCCGTTCTCCCCTGCCCCATGCCTGAGCCCCATTACACTGGGGGCTGGTGGCCCTGGATCCACATGTGGCCATGCTGGAGCCAATTGATCTGGTGAGTCCCCAGCTGCCTCCTGGGAGGCATAGCACCATCCAGGCTGAGTCTCGCTTCCTCCTTCGGCTGGATCCACTTCCACACCCTTTCTATGGTGGCCTGGTCCCCCCAGAGCGCGGTCAAGGTCTCTAGGCTGACCCCACTCTTTCCTCGGCCCACAGAATGAAGCCAACACACACCATGGTCAACTGCTGGTTCTGCAATCAGGACACGCTGGTGCCCTATGGGAACCGCAACTGCTGGGACTGTCCCCACTGTGAGCAGTACAACGGCTTCCAGGAGGTATGCACGGGCGGTTTTCCCAAGACAGGCCTGGAGGTCACCCTGCTCCCTCTGGCTGGTGGGCCCCATACTCTTCCTCTCCTGGCCCCGACAGGATGCATCACACATGTCATGGCACTGGATTCTCACCACCGCCCTGGCACTGTGCCCTTGCTTGAGGAGGAAGAACCAGGCTTGGGGGTGTGGCAGCTTGCCCAAAGTCATGCCACTAAAGGTAGCAGATGTGGAGCTCAAGCCCATGGCAGCACGTTCCCTGTAGTGGATCAGGGGCTAGCAGGCCTTTTCTGCAAAGGGCCATATAGGAGGTCTTGAGCTTGTGAGCCATGTGGCCTGTCCCAGCTGCTGACTGCCGAACCACCATAGCTAATGAGAATGCACATGCCTGGCTGTGTCCTGGTGGAATGTCGTTACTGAAGCAGGCAGCCAGCCTGTGGGCCGCGGTTAGCCCAGCCCTGCATGAGACCCAGTTTCGAGAGCAGCAGGGTCCTGGGGACTGATGCTGGCTAGGCAAGTGGGCAGACAGCAGGCCAGGGCCCTGCCCTGGCTCAGGCTGGGTGGCTTCACTCGGCCTGGATCTTGGGGCTCCATGTGAAGTGTCTTTGGAAGAAAAGCTGCCACTGTTGTGAGTAAAGAGAGAAAGACTGGAAGTGCTCACAATCCACCCCTGCTTTCCTGGAGCATGCCCACACGGGACCTCCATGCGCCTAAACCTGCGCCTGCCGAGAAAGCCTCCTGTGTGTTGGGCAGGCTCTCCCCTGACCATGAGTCCCACCCTCCTCCCTCAGAATGGCGACTACAACAAACCAATCCCTGCCCAGTACATGGAGCACCTGAACCACGTGGTGAGCAGCGCACCCAGCCTCCGCGACCCCACGCAGCCACAGCAGTGGGTGAGCAGCCAGGTCCTGCTCTGCAAGAGGTGCAACCACCATCAGACCACCAAGATCAAGCAGCTGGCTGCCTTTGCTCCTCGTGAAGAGGTGAGGCGGGGACAGGGACAGTGGGGGGGTGCCGAAAGCGGGACCAGGTACGTTCAAGGCACCAGCTGGGGCCACCTCCGGGCCTCTGACCCCTGCTCTGCCAGACAGTGGCTTTTCTGTCCTGAGTGACCAAAGGGCCCCTCCCCCTGACCCCACTGGCCCCACATTCCGGAGTGTGTCAGTTCTTCCATCTCCCTTGGTGCTGAGCTGCTTCTCCTGGGGTCTTGTTGTTGCTGTTGTCTGGGTTCCAAGCTTGGAAAGACCATGAAAATCTCATGCCTGTCAGTGCAAGGGGTTTGTCTCTGGGTAGAGGGACGTAGGACCTTGGGCCCTGTTGGACCCATCCTGTCCTCATCCCTGAGTCGGCCTTGCCCGTTGGCAGCCTGGGCACTTAGCTCTGAAAGCTGGCAGGGAACGCTGCTGGCTTCTGGAAGAAGAAGGAAGCTAGGTGTTGCTCAGAGGCTTGGCTTTAGGAGTCGGGCCGAGCTGGAGTGTCACCTCCCATGTGCCATCATGGACTCCAGGAGCCTTGGTACCTGGCTGCTCCTGTCTGCCACCCACTCACACACCTTCCCAGCCCAGAGGGTCCCGTGACCTCAGGAGGCAGATCGCAGCTGAGGCTCAGAGACACCGGCTTTCCCAGCGTCACATCACCACATGTAGTGGCCGTTTGTCCTGTCGGGCAGGTTCTGAGTGGGGGTAACTTGCCTGTGGTCACCCCCACGTGAGTGGCAGGGCCAGAATCTGAACCCAGGATCTGACCTGGAAGATAGACCAGCTCAGCCGCCCCTGCAGACGCTAAGCCCTTCTCCACCCCACAGGGCAGGTACGACGAGGAGGTGGAGGTGTACCGGCACCACCTGGAGCAGATGTACAAGCTGTGCCGGCCGTGCCAGGCAGCCGTCGAGTACTACCTCAGGCACCAGAACCGCCAGCTGCGTGCCCTTTTGCTCAGCCACCAGTTTAGGCGCCGGGAGGCCGACCAGACCTATGTGCAGGTTGGACGTGGGTGTCCATGGGGCAGATGGGCATCGAGGCCTGGAATTTCTGCAGGAAACCCACTGTGGACTGCCAGCTGAGACCCTTTTCCCTGGGGAAGCAACCTGTCCATGGGGCCACCTTCCCACCCCCTCCCCTCTTGTAATTAGCCAGAGGGCATGTCCCCGAGGAGAGTGGCCAGGATCACGGTACATCTGATTTTTTGGTTTTGTTTTTTGAGTCAGAGTCTCCCTGTTGCCCAAGCTGGAGTGCAGTGGCACACGCATAGCCACCGCAGCCTCAACCTGCTGGGCCCAAGTGATCCTTAGGCCTCAGCCTTCCAAGTAGCTGGAACCACAGGCACACATCACCACTTTCGGCTACTTTTTTTTTTATTTGTTGTAGAGATGAAGTCTTGCCAAGTTGCCCGAGCTGATCTTTTGTTTGTTTGTTTGTTTTTTGAGTTGGAGTCTCACTCTGTCGCCCAGCCTGGAGTACAGTGGCCGCTCCCTGCCACCGCAGCCTCGCCTGCTGGGTGCTGGCGACCCTTCCACCTCAGCCTTCCAAGTACCCAAACTGATCTTGAACCCAAGGGCTCAGGCAATCCTCTTGCTTCCGCCTCCCAAAGTTCTGGGATTATAGGCGTGAGCCATCACATTCGGCTGATGCATCTATTCTTTGTGTATCTGATCTGGGTCTTGAGGCTGCGCTGCTGCATTTGTTCCTTATGGTAGCCTTATGGTACACTCTTAAGACACTGGGGCCCCCACTTAACCGCTGTGGAAACCAGACTCAGGGAGGCTGAGAGACTTAAGGCCACACATCTCGTGTGTGGTGGTGCTGGGGCCTGAATCTGGGGCCCTCTGGCTAAAAGTACAAAATATTATCCCAGTACTCAGTTGTGGAATATTTTAGTTGTTTAAAAAAATCAAGCCGGGCTCGGTGGCTCAGTTTGTAATCCCGCGCCTTTGGGAGGCTGAGGTGAGTGGATTGCCTGAGCCCGCAGGTTCGAGACCCGCCTGGGCAGCAAGACCTCATCTCTACAATAAATCAAAAGATCAGCCGGGTGTGGTAGTGCATGCCTGTAATTCCGGCTACTTGGAAGGCTGAGGTGGAAAGATCGCCAGAGCCCAGCAGGTCGAGGCTGCGGTGGCCAGGAGCGGCCACCGCATTCCAGTCTGGGCGACAGAGTGAGACTCCAACTCAAAAAAAAAGAAAAAAATCAGATATAGTAGCAAGTAGGTTAAGAAGCAAAAATCAGCCCTGCAGAGAACTCCCACCCACCCTCTCGTGTACCTAGATGTGCCCTGGGTCTTTTTGGTGTATGGTTTCCAGTCTGCAGTTGGGCCCCCTGGCCACTCAGCCACAACTCTGCCCTGCCGTGTACATGTTCACATGGCAGGACACCAGGCAGATCCTGTCCTCAGATGTTTGGTTCTCACTCAGCCACCTTGTTCTTGGTTTGAATAACTCCTGTATTTTTAAATTTAACTGTTGCCCGAGTTACCTGTATATCTGTCAGTTCTAGTTAAAATCACAAGAGGAATTTTTGGTGAGAACTTGACAAAATGATTGAAAATTTTATTGGGAGGACTAAGGTCAGCACGATGTGGAAGACTCCTTTGCAAGGAGAGTGTGGGAGGAGCACCCGCAGGACTGTACTGTGGGCGCAGGCCCTGGAACAGGGCAAGCCTCGACAGCTACGGAGTGTGGGAATGGAGGGCCTTGTGGAGGGTCTTGCAGGGGGCAGCTCTGGCCAGCAGGACTGGGTGGATTCTTCAGTGAGTACCTTGAGGCCTGGCCGGGACCCCCGCAGAGTGGCCTGGAAATGACTGCGGGCCCTGTGGCCCTCTCACCTGCCCCCTCATCAGCTGGCTCCCTTCCTCCCTACAGAGTTTCTGCTCCTCGGCATTGAAGGCTCCAATCCAGGTCATCCTGCTCCGTGCCCTTGCCTTCCTGACCTGCGCCTTCCTGCTGACCACTACCCTCTATGGCACCAGCAACCCCTTTGCCCCAGAGGCCACCCTGCCCCTGGCCCTGCCACCTGGCGGCAATGGCTCAGCTGCACCTGACAATGGCACTGCTCCTGGAGTCGAGGGCTGGCGGCAGCTGCTGGGCCTGCTGCCTGAGCACACTGCGGAGAAGTTGCGTGAGGCCTGGGCCTTCGGGCAGAGCCACCAGATGGGCGTTGTGGGGCTAGGCCTGCTCACCTGCCTTCTGGCTATGCTGCTGGCTGGCCGTATCAGGTGCGTGGGGCCATGGGGGTGTGGACTGGTGGGGGTCTGCCTGCTGGTTACTGCCTGGGATGGGAGCCAAGGGGCCCTGTTGGACATACAGCCCCAGGCTGAATGCCACCCTGTAGCTGATCCAAGACAGTCCCTGTTCTCCAGGGAGTCTGGTAGGCGAGACAGAACAGCGAATGCCCTCAGGGGTGTTGACTCTCCAAGCCTGCTCCCCGCCCGTACTTGATGCTAGGTGGGGCCCGGTCACCTCACTTCTCTGCCTCAGGCTCCTATTTGTAAAGTCAGGGTGACACTAGCGATCCGCCTCATGGGTGGGAGGCTCATGCCGGTGCTTTTGGGTTTTCTGAGTAGGAGTGGGCCCTGTGTGAGTGCTGTGTCCACCCACCCCAACCCTCATGATGACTGGGTGAGCTTTTCTTAGTCCATCCTAGAGGCTGGAACACAAGGCTTAGGAGGACACTGACCTATTCAGGGCCAGGCCTGTGTGGGTGCTGAGGAATCCAGGCTTCGTGCACCTCCAGGCCCTGGATTCTGCCCTCTGAGCAGGATGGGATGCAGGGCAGGAGGTGGCAGTCCCGGGAGGTCTCACCGTGTCCTGTGGGCTCACCCCACTGCTCCCCCTGCAGGCTCCGGAGGATCGACGCCTTCTGCACCTGCCTGTGGGCCCTGCTGCTGGGGCTGCATCTGGCCGAGCAGCACCTGCAGGCTGCCTCGCCCAGCTGGCTGGACACGCTCAAGTTCAGCACCACGTCCCTCTGCTGCCTGGTGGGCTTCACGGCAGCTGTGGCCACAAGGAAGGCGATGGGCCCACGGAGGTTCCGGCCCCGAAGGTCAGAGAAGCAGCTGTGACTGCGGGGGGAGGACAGACGGACGGACAGGCCCAGGCTTTGCACCAACCTGGAGCAGGGTGCCTCTCTGTTTTGCCTCTTCTTACCTGCCTCACTCCCGCCCCCCACCCCCCAGCCTTGAACCCTGGGTCCTGGCACGGCCCCTCCACTGACCTGAGGAGTCAGCCTGCCGCCTTCTCTTTTCTGGCACCACCAAGCCGTCCTCTGTAGCTGCTCACTGCTGCCACCACTTCCCTGGCCAGAGACCCTTTCACTGCGCTGGTGACCGGAACGTGGGTGGCAGCACCCGCACAGCCTGCCTCTGATCCGTGGCTTCCTGCTGGCAGCTCCCCCTCTTGCCACAGCCTTTTCCACAGGCTCTGATACCATCGGACAAGAGGTGTGGGCCTGCTCTCTGCCGCCTCACCTGGCCCCTGAGCCCCTGCACAGGGATGGTGACCGTGGCTGCAGGCTGGGCCCTTGCACGTGCCCTGACCACTCAGGCTGCTTGGCACTGCAGAGTGAGCAGGGGCCAGAGCTGAGCCCCCACCATGTCCCTGCATAGAACTCCTGGTCTGCTCTGTCCCCGTGGTCTGCTTGCTGCTGGGCAGCCCTGTGGGAAGCAGCAAAACCCCAAAGGAGGCAGGGCTGCCCCTTTGGGACCACAGCTCAGTCCCCTGCTCTGAGACCTCCCTTAAGACACCTGATCTCTCAGCCTCTGTCCCTGGGAATGGAGAGTGGAGGTCTTGGACACAGCCTGACTTTGACTATGAATTTGTAGGGTGAGACCCCTCCCAAGGTAGACGATGGAAAGTCCTTTGCTCTTTGTGGTCAGGCTGTGGTGGGAGTTTGCCCTGATTGGGAGGGTCTAGCAGTCTTTCCTTTATTGGTCAGTTAGTTAGTGAGCCCTGCAGGCCAGACAGAAAGAACCAGGGGGTGCTTTCTCTGCCCTGGAAAGGCAGGACTCTTACCCTGATGGCCAGACCAAGCGTGCCCCTCACTGCCAGCCCCAAACACTTGAGTGCTCTCATAGACACTGCTCCCCCTAAGCCTAGGGTATCCCCAGTTGATCCCATTCACCCCATATAATGCCTGGGAACAGCTCAGGTTCCTAAGGTCAACGCAGGCAAGGCACTCGAGGGACACACAAGCCTTGGATGATGCCAGGTCATTGTCACTTTGTCCCTCTCTGGCCTGTCACAAGCTGCCCCTGGCCCCTGGCAGCTGCTCATGGAGAATGCTGAAGCTCTTGCTTTCCCCTGACCCTGTGGGCTTGCCATAGGGCCCACGGGGCCCGGCCTCACTCTGCCCTCTGAGTCAGGCAGGAAGGGTGGTCCTACTTGGGGCTGCCCAGGAGTGCTCTCCCAAAGTGAGGTCCCAGGGGAAGGGCCACAGACCCACTACTCCGTAGCCGTGAGGTTCCAACCAGGCCCCTGCTGTTTCCAGCCTCAGTTTATAGCTGTGAAATGAGAGGCAGGGCCCTCTCTGGGGTCGTTGGGTGCTGGCCTCAGTGGGTGTGGGGGTCACATGTGGTGGCACGTAGGGACATGCTCTGGAAATTGAGGTGTTATACACATGCAGAGGAGGTTCCCAGCTGGGGGGCTACATCCAGGGATCATGGCTGGCGTGTAGGCCAAGGCCATGGCCTGCTGGCACATTGCCCTCTGGTGACTCCTGAGTGGGCTGCACACTCCTTCCAGGTGTGGCCTAGAGTATGTGGGATCCCAGGGGAGGCAGAAGCAGGCCCTTATGTGCCTGAGGGCCATACCCAGTTGCCTGGCTTTGGGGGCAGGTAGGTGAGGGTGTCCCATCAGCTCTGGCAGGGAGCCTCGTAGGGATTTTGAGAGTGGTGCCCAGCCCCGCCGCTGTGAATCAGCCACCTATGAGGGTCCTGAGAGGCTGCCCCCCACAGTGTCCTCATGATGGGATGGCAGCCCACGCCCTGCCCCACTTCTGCATGTTGTGAACCAGGTGGGTCAGGAGACTGCATGTTGTGAACCAAGTGGGTCTGGGCCCAGTGAGCTCTGGCTCCAGCCAGGGCCCCAGTGTTGCTGGGCTCAGCCCATTATTCTGTGTGGAGGATGAGATGAAACCTTCCGGAAAGAGGTGGACAAGACCATGATGCCCACGATCTCAGCAGTGAGGAGGAGGGATGGGGGTGAGCCGAAGCAGCCCTGGGGGCATCTGCCTGCCCTTTGCCCCTGCCTCCCACCCAAAGAGAGCCTGTCTGAGAGAGGAGGCGGTGGGTTCCAGGTCAGGGAAGAGTGGGCTGCCGGCTGCGTGTGCCGTTGCTTGTGTCTCAGCTCTCCTATTCTGGAAGTTTTGATGGTGTGACGCCAATTTCTGCTTTTCTTGGCATTGGGTAGAAGCAGGACATCTGTGTGTATGTGTGTATTTAAATTAAATTATTTATAATAACCAGACCCAGCTCTCGCTGGCCAGGATCCCCCGACTGAGCGGATGTCTCTCCTGCCCTCTGGCGGGTACGGAAGGACATCTCGGGAGCTGGCGCACATCAGAGTAAGAATTCTGGTCTTTTTTAGAGTTTCATGTGATTTTTTTAAATTACCCGTCTGTTTTGGAAGCTTTCCTTACTTGGGGGAAGTGCCAGCCCCTTCTGATGTTCTGAGGGAGTGTGGGTACTGCTGCCTCATGGCTTGGGACTGGGAAGGTGTCACCCCTACAGGGACTTCCTGCTCTGCTGGGGATGGCCGTCAGACCTTCCAGAGTCAGGGTGGGATCATCCTAGCTATGGGATTACGGTCCCTGATACCCGAGCAAGCTAGATTAAGCCATCTCCACCCCCCGGGTCTGTCCCCTTCCCCACCCCCAACACTTACCTGGGAACACACCACCAGGACGCACCCTCCACGCGCGCCTGCCCAGGAGGAGCCTGTGGTCCTTCCTACCCTTGACTGTTGCTGAGTCTAGTGTGTCTTGTGTAGTAGAATTGTGGCGAATTGTCCAGTGTCCCTCTAATCACTGTAACCACCACTCCTGGCCTAGCTGTCGTGTTTTGGATGCTGTGTTTTCAATAAATGCCTCCGGGACCCTGCATTGACCCGGTGGCGTGAGGTATCGCGTCTTTCTTCGTTTTTCTTTCACATTTCTTCTGAAGGGCTTCTCTGTCAAGGCTGGGGTGGGTAGACTGTTTCTGTGGTACAGACATGTCCACAGGAGTCTGGCGGGGAGTCAGGTTTGGGAGCTGGTGACTGACACCAGACAACTCAGGGGTCCTGGCTCTTCTCGCTTACCTTGCTGGACCACATTTTTCCCGTCTCAATAAACTATTGCTTAAAGCGTCACTCTTTCTCTCTCTTCCTGCTCTTGACTTGGACCGGGATTGGGCTGGAGAACACCAGACGTCTCCCCAGTGTCAATTGAGGGTGACATACAGGCCCTCCCCAGAGCACATGTGCAGGCTCAGATCCTGGGCGTAGCCCCTCTCTGACATGTGATTTGAGTCGCAGGGCAGTCTAGGGTGCTTCTCACCAAAAGGAGTGTCAGTGCTTTTGACATCTCTGGAGCCATCCCTAAGCGTTCGGTCACGATGGGCCCAGGCACCTCGGTCAGCCCTGGCTCACCACAGAGGGCCTGAGCAGAGGTTGGCTGCGGAATGGGAGGAAGCCCCTGGGGGCCCTGGGGCAGAGCCGAGAGCCCCACATGGCTTCACGAGGATCCGCGCATTGAGTTATGTTACTGCGGATCCCAGCAAGAATCAGACTGCCAAAGAACTCACTGCACAGCGCCAGTGTTTTCAATGGCACCAAAATTGGGAGCAGACCTGAGCCAGGCAGCCGGGAGACTTGGGTTTTAAGCCTGGGCAGCCCCAGGAGTGGGCAGGAGTTGGGAGGAGGGGAGGCACTGGTAAGAGCGGGTGCTCCTTCTGGGGCTCACCCTTGAGGGCCGGAAGCTGCGGGGCTCAGCTGGCTACCTCAGCCACAGCCCGACTGGGACCCTCTGTGCTCACTGCGTCCTGCAGTGCTCACAGGTCACTGTGGCCCTGGCCGCCTCGCCTGCTCCGGTCACCCTTGGTTTGACTCCTGGCTGTGCCTGTGGGCCGCCCAGAGCACGATGGGCACAGGAAGCCCAGTGCAGACCCCTGCTGCCACCTGCTGGAGGGTCATGGGCGTTCATCCCACTCCCAGGCCCAGAGATTCCCTATGGAGGTCATGCCTGATCAGAGCAGTTTGTCTGAAGGTCCCAGCCATGCCTTTGCTGCCTCTGCAGTGCTGAAAGTGTCTTCCTTCTCTGGGCCTGCCAGAGAAGTGGCGAACCTGCCAAACAAAATGTCACTTTGTGTTTAGAGGTGAACCTTCTCCAGAGTCCTGGGGGCAAGACAGTGGGCATCAGACGGGCATGGGAGGGACTGGGTAGCTGTCAGAGTGAGGGTACATCCAGCCCTGCCAAACAGGCTTCCCTGCAGATTGCTTGCTGAGTTCCTGCCTTCATTCCCAAGTTCCCCAAACACCGGGCCTTACCTTTGGTTCAGAAGTCCAGGTGCCCTCTTGGTACCTGGGAAAGCCTTAAGAAGGTCACAGAATCTCTAGGAAGTCAACAGCTGACCCTACACTGCTCTTAGAAAACTTTCAAAAAGGGGAAAACCGCTGGGGTGGCTGGTGGCACATAGCTGGGCTAGCCGTCCCTGAGCATTCAGTCATGACGGGCCCAGGCACCTCAGCCAGTCCTGGCTTGCCCCAGGGCCTGAGGCTGCCAGCCCGTTCACCAGCACATTGTCCACTGGGCCCATTTATCCCTTGGCATAGAGGTAAGCCTGGACCCCTGCAGCTCCGTCCAGATGGCAGACTAATGTATTAACTGCCTCTGTCCCTCCCTTTCCTCTGTAATCGGGTGCCTTAATCAGAAGCATGGTTGACATTCTGCCGTGGGTCCTGTTGTGTGATTTGTACCATCTTGAGTTAAAGGGACACTGTCACCTTCTGGTTTTCGGGCAGCAGCCTTGCGGTCGTTTGTGGGTCTTTTGTAAGTTTGAGTTCGGTGTGTGTCTGTGAGAGCCTCTTCCGGGGATTCCAAAGCCTGGCCACTGCCTCCTCTGCTCTACCAGGGACTTGAGAGGTGTTTCCAGTGTCCGAGACCAGTGAGCAGGAGGCAGCCTCCCAGGGCAGAGCCGCAGTGGGACTTCCAGGAATCCTGCCCTGGGGAGCAGAAGGCTCCCAGAGCCTTCCTGAGGCCTCACTTCCTAGGTTCAAGACCAGGCAGGTGTCTCTGATCTCGGCTCCTCTAAAGAGGCTCTGGGCGTGGAACAAGAAGTAGCAAGAAAGAATCCAAGTTCATTAACCTTCACTGAGTGCCTGGCACAGGGCTGGGCGTTTTTGCTTTAAGGCAAAGGTTTAGCATGAGGTTGGCAAGGGCGACAGTGTCACTTTAATATCGAGACTCGTAGTGGAGATAGTTTGCTGTGAGCTGAGGAGGCTGAAGGGGGCATGCGGGGAGGGCTGGGTCACGCTGGCACCTCCCAGCCACCTGCTCCTAATGGCGTGAATGTGGATGGACTGCTTTCCTGCTTTAACTAACGCACGCCTCCTCTGGGACCCCGACTCAGACCCCCACCTTGCACTGATTGAGAGGGTACAAGATCTGCTGTACAAAGCTGCCTCCCGAACCTTCCAGCTGACCCTCTCCCTCTCCCATGCCCAATGGGCCTCTGCAGGTACTTCCCCGGAGACTCTGCCGGCCTCTTCCCCACCAGCCCCAGCCTGGCCATCCCTTGCCCGAGTGTCGGAGGCACCTCGCCATCTCTGTTCCTCCCCAGCCCACCTGGCTTCCTGCCCCTCACCAACCAGCAGCTGTTCCGCTCTCCCCGACGGGCCTCACCCTCCTCGCTGCCAGGCCGCCTCAACCGGGCCCTCTCGCTGGGAACCATACCCTCTCTGACTCGAGCAGGTAATAGGTGCAGCCATAGGTGGGCTGGGGCAGCTGGAGCAGGGCTGCGTGGATGCGTGGTGGAGGGAGCGCAGGGGTGGGCAGTTAGCACTCCTGCTGCCAAGATAGGCACGAAGGGGCTCTGAGCCTCAATTTCCCCTCGAAGAAATGGGGCTAACAGTAGACAGTGCCTCATGGGCAGTCAGAGGGCTAAATGAGATGACATATTTAGCGTGCTCTGAAGGCACCTGGCTGTGTGCTCAGTAGGTGTCCACTCGCTGGGCTTGGTCTTTTCCTGTTCTTGCTGCTGCTGTTGTAACTGAGACACCCTGGGGACAGAAAAAGGTGACCCAAGCCTTCCTGTGGGGCCTGAGGGGACTGGGAATCCATTCAAGTCTGTTGTGCATCATAGCAGGATCCTGTCTCAAAAAATACATATATATAATCAGAGCCCGTGAGTGTTCTGTGACGACCCTCTCTGTCCTGGGAAGCCTCCTGGAGCGTGCTCACCTTACCCCGCCCTCAGTGGTCGTGTCTTGGGGCTGGCTTTCCGGGTGCCAAGCCTGTGTTGGGCTGGAAGGCAGGATTTTATCCTTAAAGAGTGTGGGGGCATTTCGGGGAACCCAGTTCTTCTTTATTAAGTTGCTGGGCTTGGTACTGTACAGTCGGGATCTCATCCATGTCCCTCGCCAGCTCTGCCAGACAGGAGGCTTCGGCTCCATGCCAGACCCCTCTGTGTGCCTATTTCCTTAAGTGACTCGCCCAAGGTCTTGCTGCTGCTAAGCACTGGGGTTTGAGCCTGGGCTGTCTGGCTCCTGAGCTCAGGCCGCTCTCGACCCTGGTGTGCTAGTGAGTGTCCTCCAAGATGGAGGTGGGGCCCTTGAAGCTGAGCTGGCTTGCTAGCAGAAACGGCATTGGAGCTGACCTGGGCCTAGGTTTGAGGACCGAGGTGGGTAGGGGTGAAGCCGTGGTCACAGGGAGAGCGGGTGCTGTCTGTGACTGCCTTGCAGCAGAGCCTCCCTAGGCCCCTGTGGGTCCCAGGCTCCGTGTGAGGCTCGAGAGACGCGGTAGCAGGCAATCCCAGCTGGGGCCTGGCCATGGCTCAGGCACCGTATGCTGGAGGAGCATCTAGGGGTTGCTCAGGAGCAGCACCCGGATCAAGGGGACCTGGATGTGAACTGGGCCCTCCCCAGAGGAGAGTTCTTGGAAGCGCCCTGGCAACGGAGGGAGGAGGGGGCCAGGGTTGGAGGCCTCAGGGTGGCACAGGGCCAGTTTGGGCCCAGGGTGGGGAGAGGCTCTAGCTCTCAGGCTTTGCAGGGCCAGCTCGGTGTGGACCCCTCCCAGGTTGCCAGCCCATGGGACAAAGGCAGGGATGCAAGCTGCCTGTTGCCCGAAGGCCCCTCAGCCACCCACCTCTTCCTCTGGAGAAACACCCCCCGCCCGCTTCTGAGGGTCCTTTTGCCCCATCCGCTGGCCTGAGGGCAGTGAAATGGGGGCCACGAACTGGGAACCGCAGGGCGGCGCCTCCCTGTGGAAGTTGGGAAGTTGTGTTACCTGCTGGCATCCTTTCCCCACTCGGGACTGGAGCCGTAAGCTTCATATGCAGGAAACTGAGGCGCCCAGAGCTGCCGCGCCAGCTGGGAGCAGCAGCGCCCCAAGTCCCAGTTCTGGTGGTGTGACCTCAGGGAGGTGCCTGCTCCCCACTCACCCTGATCTCTTCCTCTGGAGTTGTGCCTCTGGGCTGTAGTGGGACGAGGTGAGCCTGGGCAGCCGAGTACCTGGAGAGGCCCTTCAGCAGAGGGGGCTGCTGCCATTATTTTGGGGTAGGAAGCACCAATCGTAACAGAGGCTTCACTCCCCCGCATGTGGTTAAGGTCGGGCGTGTCACACGCTCCCCAAGGCTGGTGTTGGGGTGATCTTGCTTTCCACTGATTAGAGATGCCCCTCTCTCTTTCCAGAGCCCCAGCCTGATGAACGGAACTTGGGAGGGGTAGACGGTGCTGAGGCTGCCAGGAGTAGCCCTGACTTGGGCCTGAGTGCTCCCGAGAGGATTTGGTTCCCCCAGAACGGGGTGACATCCACTTCAAGCCCTTTAGGAGGGGAGGGGACAATCCTAGGGCCAGTCATGCTTCTGTGTGGGGCCTACCACCCGTGGGGAAGAACAGGCAGTCTCCTACTGAAGCTTGAGGCAGGGGCACAGCAGCCCATCTGAGGTGTTCTGTGGGGTACAAGCTGGTGTCGGAATGTCTGGTGACAGGTGGCGCCCAGAATCTCCATTGCCAGGGTGGGCCCAAAGGACAGGTTCTTGCAGGGCTTTGGCTCACGTATTCGGGAGACCTACTGGTCCAGGTCAGATGCTCCCTGTCCTGTTTCCTTTTCTCAGTTTGTTTCTTTGCCATAGGCCTTACCACTGCATCCTGCAGCCCATGCCCAGCAGGAAGACTGATTGACGAGCTTGGGTCATGTGACCATCCTTACCCATGTGTCCCTGGCCCAGTGGGGGAAGGGCAGACAGTGCCCAGTGACCTGCACACCATGACAGACCCTTCAGAGCCCATTGGTGGTGGTCCAGTGGCTACCTACAATAGTGCACGTGGCAGTCTCCAGATTGTTCACACACAGCTCTTTGTTGTTGTTGCTGTTGTTGGAGTCTCACTCTGTTGCCCAGGCTGGAGTGCAGTGGCATGCTCACAGCCACCGCAGCCTCAACCTGCTGGGCTAGGTGATCTTTCTCCCTCAGCCTCCCAAGTAGCTGGAGCTATCGGTGCACGCTACCACACCTCGCTAATTTTTTAATTTATTATAGAGATGAGGTCTCGTCATGTTCCCAGGCTGGTCTTGAGCCCATGGGCTCAGGCAGTCCTCTTGCCTCTGCCTCCCAAAGTGCTGGGATTACAGGTGTGAGCTACCATGCCTGGCTACACACAGCTCTTGGCCGGGCACCTGTGGGAACGTAAGTGGCGTGAGATGGGACCCCTGCCTCGGGGTGCACTTGATTTAGGACAAGGCAGTGTTTGGTGCTCCCTCGGGTCCGGCGCAGTAGTCGGGGTCTGCGGTTAGTGGAGAGAGGGACTCAAGGCAGCTGGGCAAGTAGGGCCTTGCATTGAAGGACAGACACAGTTGGAGACCTGCCCAGGGGCCAGCTCCTCTCATCACTTGCTGTGAGCTTCGGGGTCTTTACCTGCAAAATGGGGTGTGCCCATGGGCCTGGGACAGCCAGCCATTGAGGTGGCAGCTGAGTGCCCGTTCTCATGAGGTTGGATTTGAGCCGAACATTCAGGGGGCCATGGGGCAGAATGAGGGTGGAGAGAGAGGCGCTCTCTGCACGTCGCCCATGGCCTGATATGTGTCGCGTTTCTCCTTGTCTCCAGACTCAGGCTATCTGTTCAGCGGGAGCCGCCCTCCATCTCAGGTGTCACGGGCTGGGGAGTTTCCTGTTTCAGGTGAGAAAGCTGAGGGAGGGTGGGGAAGCTGCCTCCATGGGCAGTGGGAGACCAGCCGTAGCACGTGGTTTACATGACCTCCAGTGTGCGTTCAGATCCCAGCCCTGGCAAGTGACTCACATGCCTGTGCCTCCATTTCCTCTGTGTGAACTGGTCAGGATGCTGCTGCCCTTACAGCACTCCAGGCTGGTGGTGGCACACCGGGCCAGCCAGCTGGGAACCTTGAGTCTCCAGTTTCTTCCTGTCCGGCCTTGCTCTCTGCTGAGGGAAGACCAGGGACTTTGGGTGGAAACCAAGGGCAGTGTGGCTGAGGCTCCTGGCCCTGTCCCTTCCCTCGGGGGCCTGGTGGGGTGCAGGCCCCTCCTCCCTCAGGCTTCTGCAGGGCTCTGTGGCCCTCCGGAGTCTTCACACAGCCTTCCTCTCTTCCTGGTTGACAGAAAAGGCAGCAGGAACAGAATAGCACACAGCTACTGTGACAACTCTGTGTCCCGTCCTTACTGATCTGTCGCTCTCTCCCTCCAGATTACTTCTCTCTGCTGTCGGGAAGCTGCCCCTCCTCCCCGCTCCCCTCCCCGGCACCCTCGGTGGCTGGCTCCATGGCCTCCAGCTCCCGCTCGCTGCGCCATCGCAGGCCCCTCATCAGCCCCGCCCGGCTCAACCTGCAGGGGCAGAAGCTGCTGCTGTTCCCATTGCGCCCCGGAGAGGCCCCCACCACCCCAAGCAGCTCAGATGAGCACTCACCCCACAACGGCAGCCTCTTCGCCATGGAGCCACCCCAGCTGCCCCGGCGGCAGCAGGATGTGAAGCACACCCGTGGTACAGCCTTTGACCGTCCTGGGGCCAGCAGGGCAGGGTGGGGCCCGTCCTTGCTCTTTTTCCAGTGGTGCAGTCACTCCCCAAGCTCTGACACCCCCAGTGTGGCTCCGGTGACTTGAACATTCTAGGACATTGCCCTCTACTGGGCTGATTATATACATGCATACATATGTATATTACATATCTTTTTTTTTTTTTTGAGTTGGAATCTCACTCTGTCATCCAGGCTGGAGTGCAGTGGTATGCTCACAGCTACTGCAGCCTCAGCCTGCTGGGCTCAGGCAGTCCTCCCACCTCAGCCTACTACAGGAACTACAGGCACGCACTACCACACCCGGTAATGTTTTTGATTTATTGTAGAGATGAAGTCTCACCAAGGTGCCCAGCCTGGTCTTAAACCCCTGGGCTCAGGCATCCTCTCACCTAGCTCAAGTGCTAGGATTATAGGTGTGAGCCATCACGCCTGGCCTTATCTTTTTTTTTGAAGCGGTATCTCACTCTGTTGTCCAGACTGGAGTGCAGTGGCATGCTCACAGCTACTGCAGCCTCAACCTGCTGGGCTCAGGCAATCCTTCCGCCTCAGCCTTCCAAGTAGCTGGAACTACAGGCATGTACCACCACGCCCGGCTTATTTTTTGATTTATTGTAGTGACGAGGTCTCACCAAGTTGCCTTGGCTGGTCTTGAACTGCTAAGCTCAGGCATTTCTCCTGCCTTGGCCTCTCAAAGTGCTGGGTTTACAGGCATGAGCCACCACGCCCAGCTGATTATATTATATTTTGGTTTTGTTTTTTATAGAGATGAGGTTTTGCTGTGTTGTCCAAGCTGGTCTCAAACTCCTGGGCTCAAGCAATTCTTCCTCCTTGGCCTCCCTAAGTACTAGGATTGCAGGTGTGAACCACTGCGCCCTGCCAACTTGCAGATTTTGTTTTCTCCTTTTGCAGTCAACCTACAGGGTCGTCTGTTCCTTGGGACTGATCGAAAACACATTATGCACTGTCAGGCTGCGTGTGGTCTCAGATATTTTGAGTGCAGTATAGCCCTCAAATGGTGCTGTACTGCAGAGCATTTGAAAATTTGGAAATCGGATCCCAACCGTTAAAATCTACAACTTTTACATGATGTGTAGATTTCCTGGGTGTCTTACGATGTCAGGAGATTCTGGCCATGCTGGGCCTCAGTGCTGGTACACAGAGGCGGCAGGCAGTTGCGGCCCATGTCCCAGGCTCCACCACTCCTGCCCGTTGACCTCCCCTTCTGGAAGCCTTCCATGGGCGTCGTCAGCGGGGCCTGTTGGCATTTGGGTTTGAGGCTCCTGAGCTGAAATCAGCTACTCCCATGGCAGCTGTGCAGCCAGGATCCAAACGGGGACATGGCACCCCATGCCCAGGGTGGGCAGGTAGATGGAGATGGGCTGGTCCGCCACTCCCAAGGACTGTCCTGGGACTGGTGTTGGAGCTGCCCATGTCTCCCCGGGGTAGCTGTGAGCAGCTCTAAGACACACACCCTTCTCTCTGCAGACACAAGGTCGAAGCTGGAAAGAGGCCGCGCCTGTGGTGGCCACTCCATCAAGAAAGAGGATGACTCATCCCAGTCATCCACCTGTGTGGTGGACACCACGACCAGGGGCTGCTCAGAGGAGGCCGCCACCTGGAGAGGTCTGCACCCCGTGTCCATGGGGGCGGAGGGCTGCGTATCTGAAGCCACCATCATCCGGTCCGGGTAGAACACCGACAGCAAAAGAACCTTCCAGGGCACCGTGCGCTCAGTGCAACCAGTAGATAACCTGCCCGCTGCCTTCTAAATCTAAAGTCTGGGACTCAGCATCCCCAGGATTGGGGTTCAGACCCTTTTCCAGGGGCCTCTAGCCCCAGGCAGATGCTGAAATTCAACTGAATTAAGATACAGGAAATTAGCAGTACAGTTCTTCAGTGGCACTAGCCGCCTGTGGCTGTTGGATAGGATAGACTGGGTGGGCTCAGGGCAACGTGGTGCTAGGGCTGCAGGCCTGCGCCAGAGGCTGTGCTATCCGGTCCGTGTCCCAGTTCCCCTGCTTACTGGCCATCACACAGGGCATGAGACCAGAACAGTGGTCCACACAGGTTATTCCCCAGGGTGGGAAGGTGCATGTTGCAGATGGGCCGACTAGCAACAGGGCTTTTCCTGGCAAGGTCGCTTGAGTGACTGTTGAAACCAGTGCTGTCCCCATATCAGATCCCATCAGGGGCAGCCTGGCAGCATGGGCCCATTGTGAGGACACAGGCTGGGGTGGGTGGACCTGGGGCAGCTGCTCATTTCAGAGGCCTAGCAGTGTGCTCCTCCCCTCAAGATCCCATGGGCAAGTCTGGAAAACGAGTGTCATAGACCTCCCTTGGGGCCCAGGTACAAGCATGTGACAGCCCAGCCCAGGGTCTGCCTGGTGGCTCAGGGAAGGCCGCACCTTTGGGGACAGGGCCAGGGTTGTGCCCTGCTAGGGAGGCCTTTGGGCCAAGAGAACTAGGGATGGGTCTTGCCACCCTGGGTGGGGCCCCCACAAGCTGCATCCTCTGGGGGGCATTGTGCAGCAGCCACGTGGCAACCCACTCATATGCGTGTCTTCTCTGCTCTGCAGGTTGTGTCGGCCCCTCCTTGGTCCGGGGCCTTCTGGCTGTGAGCTTGGCAGCCAACGCCCTCTTCACTTCGGCCTTCCTGTACCAGAGCCTGCGCTGACCTGCTGCGGAGAACCACCCAGGGGTGGGGGGTGTTGAGGGGAGAGTGCCCGGTGCCTGCCGCTTCCACCACTGCCGGCCCCAGAGCCCTCCCCTGGAGGGGCGCCATCTCCAAGGCCCTTGACCTCGTGGACTGTGAGCGCCTGTCCTCAGAACGTCTGCCCCTCTCACCAGACAGACTGCGGGCTGAGCGTGTTTCTGGGGTCACACACTCACCCGCCCGTGCCTGGCTGACATCGATTGTGTTTGGTGCTGACACTGATTCCGATGCCAGGGATCCCTAGGGACTGCATGACCCTGGGTCCCCCTGCCACTCAGCCTGCCTGGCGGGAATGCCAGTACTACTGTAACTGCAGCACGAGTGGCCCAGCTTGCCTCTTGAACCCGAGCCCACCTTCGTACTGTACTCCTGTCCCACCGGGGGTCACCTCAGAGCCCCGTTAAGCTGAAGGCCCCCTGGGGGTGGAGGGAGGATGGTCCCTGGTGACCAAGCACTCCCCTGGTGGAGAGAAACCTCCCTGGTGGCCCCCGAGGATGGGCATCATCTTGCCCTTCTTGTGGAGTGGGCACCTGGGGGTTTCAGGCCCAGTATGAACACTGGCCCTCCCTCTCTTCCGCGGGTGCGCCCCTCCCGAGAAAGCAGCCCTGTTTCTCCAGGCCTGTGCTTCCTGGTTCCTCTATTCCACGGGCAGCGTGACCCGCTCACCTCTCCTGAGGCTGGACCCCTTCCTCGCCCGCAGGGTACCCGGCTCCCTTCAGCCCCTGAGACCCCACTGTCCCACTCTGTCCCATCCCTGCTGGACCCTCGTGACCTCTGTCTCCCAGGCCACCCTAGCTGGCTCTCCTACCCCCTCCCCTTGGTCCCCACCGCGGCCCTTCCAGCAGCACTGTGGGCTTCCTGCTCCGGACTGGGGCTCCTTCCTGCCCCAGGAGGAGGAAGGAGGACTTCAGTCTGGCACTGGGACCTTCGACGTGCTGTTGTGAGGAACGCGCCTGAGACGCCAGGCTCCAGGGGCTGTGTGTCTGCCACTTGGGGAGGAATCAGCTGCCTCAAATTCTGAGACTGGGGGGGGAGGGTCACGGGGCAGAAGGAAGGGTCTTCACTCTGTCATTCAGGGATAAAGCTTAGTTTTATTTTTCTACACATTTTGCCAGGTAAGGCATTTTGCTGGTAAGCAGGATGCCCCCACTTCTCCCTACTAGGGAGGTTTCGTTTTTTTAAGCTTTGGGTGCTTTTTTAATAATTTTTTTTAACACGGGAAGGAGCTAGCTCTGACTCCACCTCCCTCCCCACCTGTCCTGAGAGCCACTGCTGCTGGCTGCTGTCCTGCCCACCCCAGCCTGTGGGGATCAGGCGAGCAGTGTCAGGACTCCCCAGCCGCCAGGGATGACTTCAGCCAGGAGGCAGCGCCTCGTGGCCCCCATTTGTACAGCGGGTGTGTGTGTCGAGTTTTTTAATTTTCTCGCTTAACAGAACCAAATTCCATTCCCAGATGCCCTTCCTCTCTGCATACCCGGGCCAGCCCGGCCTCTCCTGCCTGCCTGGTCCCTGTGCCCCTGCAGGGGCAAGGGACTAACCTTGCAGGAGGGGATTTACTTTTGTTTTAAACAGAAAACAACCTTATTTTTCTTTACAAAAGCAAAAAAGGAAACCAAAAAAGATACAACCTTTGAACTTTGCCTTGCTCTGTCTTTATTCTGCTTTTCTTGAGCAGCTGGGGGGAGGGGTGGTGATGGAGCCCCAGCTGCAGTGGGGAGCCCCTGGGCTCAGGGTGTGGGGTGACAGGCCCAGTGTCCCCAGAGGGGCTTGGGGTTTGGACAGGAGGGTGCTCAGGTGTTTGCTGGTCAGAGAAAGGAATGGTATTCTGGGCGGAACAGCACGGGTCAGGGTGCAGGTGAGGAGTGCTCAGCCCAGCTCTCCAGAAGAGCCTGCCTAACCAGCAGCCCCTGACCTTGTCCCCACTGTATATGACAGACGTCTTCCCTACCCATTCGGAACGGCCCTAGCATCCAGCAGCTGGGCTTGGCACCACCCCTGAAGGCCTGTCCCAGCGGACTTAGCCCTGGGGGCTGGAGGAGTCAAGAGAGGGCTCCAAGAAGCTACACTGGCCCCATGTCCATGAGGGTGGGGGGTATGAGGGGCGGCCTCCTGCGTGTCACTGGCGCAGGTTCTGGGTTTGGCTGTCCGGTGCCTGTGGGGTCTGCTCTACTTTGGTTTCAGTTTGGCTTGGCAGTAACAAGGGGGCCATCCAGGGCTGTGACGTGGGGCCTGATGCAGAGGGACTCCTGTCCCATCCTGCACCTTCCAAGAAGGGACGCCAGTGAGCCAGTGTGGCTCTCAGAGGCCAAACAGCAGCTCTAAGCCAACTGTTCGGCCCATAATCCTGCCATGAAAGACTGGTGTCTGCTCTGTGTCATTGTATATATTACCATAGCTTGCTGCAGCCTCCAACTCCTGGGCCCTCCGGCCTCAACCTCCCGAGCAGCTGGGGCTACAGGTGTGTCTCATCGTGCCATGCTATTTCATTTCATTTTTTTGTAGAGACAAGGTCTTGCTATGTTGCTCGGGCTGGTCTCCTCTTGGCCTCGAGTGATTCTCCTGCCTTGGCCTCCCAAAGCACTGGGATTACAGGTGTGAGCCACCACACCTGGCCTACATGTATGTGCTTGATGAAAGTGGGGTCTAGCTGTACAGAACACTATTTCTCACCTGCCAAGGTCATGAGCATGCCCCCTGTCGTGACACTTTCCCATCCCTCAGTGTGGTCAGTTTCACATTGCCCACAGCTGGGCATCTTGAGGGATGGCAGTGAACATCTGTGTAGGTACCTACATTTTTTTCCTGGGTTCCAAGCTTTTCTTAGACTAATTCTTGAGAGCTGAATCATTCTATCAAAGGTTTGTCAAGATTCTGCAGCTTTTGGTGTGTTGCCTGGTTGCATTCCAGAAAGGCACAGGAAATTGCTTTTTGGATTTTTAGGGGGAAGAGGTTGTTTTGTTGATTTGGTTTGTTGTTGGTTTTTTTTTCCTCCAAAAATCTTGAGCTGACTTCTGCTTTGGAAACTTGCACCTGGTTGCCAGACATCTTCCCCGGTGGGATGGAAAGATGACCAGGAGATCCGAGTTCCTCTTGTGATATTTGTAAACAGATGGGTCTTTCTCTGGTTCCTGGAAAGAGGGGAAGGGGCAAGGTGGCTGGCATTTCCAGCAAAGAAGCTGTTCTCGTGCTGGACTCCACCCAAAGTTTTATGTCAGAAAACGATCTAATGACTTAAAAAAAAAAGACCTCAAAAACTGCTGTTGTCATACCTCCTACCTTACCAGCTGGCCACCAGGGCCCTTCCATGTGATAGGAGAGAAAGGGCCTACGTGACCTGACCCTTCTGAGGTGTCTTCACCCCAATAGGAGACATCAGGAGTTTCCGGGGTGGCTCCACTGTAAAAATACTTTTTTGTTGTTTTGCTTTTTTGGGTGTTTTGTGTTTTTTTTGAGTTGGGATCTCACTCTGTCGCCCAGGCTGGAATGCAGAGGCACAATCACAGCTCACCACAGCCTTGACCTCCTAGGCTCAGGCAAACCTTCCACCTCAACCTCCTGAGTAGCTGGGACTACAGGTGTGCACCACTATATCCAGCTAATTTTTTTTTTTTTTTTGTAGAGTTCAAGGTCTCATTATGTTGCCCAGGCTGGTCTTGAACTCCTGGGCTCAAGCAGTCCTCCTGCCTGGGCCTCCCAAAGTGCTGGAATTACAGGCATGAGCCACCACACCTGGCCAGTACCATAATCTTTTTTTATTTTATTTGTGTTTTTTTGAGTTGGAGTCTCACTCTGTTGCCCAGACTGGGGTGTAGTGGCATGCTCATGGCCACCGCAGTCTCAAACTGCTGGGCTCAGGTGATTCTTCTGCCTCAGCCTCCTGAGTAGCTGAAACTACAGGCATGCACCACCACATGTGGCTATTTTTCTTTATTATAGAGATGAGGTCTTGCATTGCCCAGGCCGGTCTCAAACCCCCAGACTCAGACAATCCTCTCACCTCCACCTCCCAAAGTGCTGGGGTTACAGGCGTGAGTCACTGTGCCCGGCTACCATAATTTTTTTTTTTTTTTGAGTTGGTGTCTCACTCTGCCCATCAGGCTGGAGTGTAATGGCACGCTCACAGCCACCCCAGCATTGACCTGCTGGGTTCAGGCGATCCTTCCAAGTAGCTGGAACTACAGGTGTGTGCTACCATGCCCGGTTAATTTTTTGATTTATTGTAGAGATGAGGTCTCGCCAAGTTGCCCGACTGTTCTTGAACCTGTGGGCTCAGGCAATCCTCTCACCTCGGCCTCCCAAAGTGCTGGGATGACAGGCTTGAGCTACCGCCCTGGCCTACCATAATCTCTTAACAACATAAATCTTTTCTACCTCTTCTGAAAAATCAAAAAATAGGTAAGAGCCTGGGCAAAACTGAACAGGATGTCAATTTCCCATCCCAGGGAATAAATAAAAATTCTCAGGGCAAGGCTGGGTGCAGTGACTCATGCTTGTAACCCTAGCACTTTGGGAGGCCAAGGCAGGAGAACTACTTGAACCCTGGAGTTTGAAACCAGCCTGGGCAATGTAGTGAAACCTCATCTCTACAAAAAAATTTTAAAAATTAGCTGGGTGTGGTGGTATGCACCTGTAGTCCCAGCTATTTGGGAGGCTGAGGCAGAAGGATCACCTGAGCCTAGGAGGCCCAGGTTGCAGTGAGCCATGAGAGTGCCACTGCACTCCAGCCTGGACAACAGAGCGAGACATTGACTCACCAAAACAAAACAAAAAAATCCAGCAAGGGTTTTTATGTCAATTGACATTCTCCTGGAGAATCTGCCTTTAATTAGATACGGGAAATTCAAGAAAAGCCCCTCTGAGCATTTGTTGGTTTCCAAATGCATTCAGTCTGAAGTAATCATCAATGTGGCATATTTGCGGATGTTATTTCCTGGATTCCTTCAGCCACCACCTGCCGTTGGGTATTTAGGCTTAATTGAAGTTGGCAAGACGTTCTCAGCCACAGCTCAGCTGCATGGAAGATGAGTTGTAGGAAGTCCTGTGTATGTGAGGAAAGCTCAGAACACTTTTACTGCACATTTTAAATGTTTCCAGATGCCTCCTTGGGAGTGATACCCATCTCCCCACACCCGTGGCTTGGAAGGCGAGAAGATTACTTGAGACCAGGAGTTGGAGACCAGCCTGGGCAACTTGGCGAGACCTCGTCTCTACAATAAATAAAAAAAATTAGCCAGATGTGGCGGTGTGTGTCTGTAGTTCCAGCTTCTTGGGAGGCTGAGGTGGAAAGATCGCCTGAGCCCAGCAGGCTGAGGCGGCAATGACTGGCGAGTGTGCCACTGCACTCCAGCCCGGGCAACAGAGTAAGGCTCCAAAACAGAGAGAGAAAGGGCGTGTGTTTCCCTGCCCTTGACAAGAAGCTTGATATATAGTTTTACACTGCTGACTGAGCAGGCCACGAACTAGGAGAGCGAGCCACGGGTATGGGTTGCAAGTTTTGGCGACCATCTTTCAACCTCCTAAGGGCACAAGGACCTGCTGAATAATGAAAGTTCTTGTCTAACTAGATCGGGGCTCTTTTAGAACCCCATTTTGCGTTTGGGGTGGCTCCCTATTGTTCCTAGGATTTCCTCCATTGGTAGATCCACACTGAGCCCACGAGGTGATCGGGTCTGTTGCGCCCGGTCGGTGGGTGAAGGTAGTGGACCCACAAGA